TTTTAAAAAATTAAATACTGAACAGATTAGGCAAATAATTGCAAAGTACGTGAAGTTTTAAAGAAAACTAATATGACTGATACTTGGTTTAGAACTAGCATATTACCTTTGCCTCTAAAGTCCTCCGGCACTCCATTCTGACAACACCCAGGGGTGATCAACCCTTTTAATTTTGTGTTTATTTATTCCTTAGACTGCTGTTGTTATTGTTCCAGTACTGGGCCTTGAATTCCAGGCTTTAAGCTCTCGGCTCAGCTTTCTTCTTCATGTCTAGCATGGCTGTACTGTTTGAGCCTCCACTTCTGGCTTTTTGCTGGTTAACTGAAGATAAGAATCTCAAGGATTTTTCTTCTCAGGCTCACTTTGAACCTAAATCTTCAGATCTCAGCCTCCTGAGTAGCCTGTTTAGGCATGAACCACTGGCCCCTATCTTTAGACTTTTTTATTTATAGTTTTATCGTGTTTGTATCTATACACAATATTTTTGGTTTTTCAACTTGCATTTTGAATAAATGAAAACATTCCTTTGTTTTTCCGGTGGTGGGGCTTGAACTCTGGGCTTTGGCGCTGTCCCTCAGCGCTTCAGCTCCAGGCTCTACCGCTTGAGCCACAAAACGCCACTTCCGGTTTTCTTGTGGTTTATTGGAGATAAGAGTTTCATGGACTTTCCTGCCTGGGCTGGCTTTGAACCATAATCCTCAGATCTCAGGCTCCTCAGTAGCTAGGATTATAGGCGTGAGCCACTGGCACCCGGCTTTCCTTTTTTGTTTTTTACTTGATCAAAGTTTTTATTTAGCTGGTTTCAAACCTATAAGTGTATCTAATTTTTTAAAATAACATTTAGGGTTGGGTGTGGTGATACATGTGTATAAACCCAGCACTCAGGAGGCTGAGGCAGGAGGATCTTGAGTTTGAGTCCATCTGAGGCCATATAGCAAAGATCTAAAAGCATACATAAATACAATATACATTTTTTGTCTTTGGTGTTGTTGGTTATGGGGCTTGAACTCTGGGCCTGGGTGCTGTCCCTCAGCTCTTCAGCTCAAGGTGAGCACTCTACCTCTTGAGCCACAGTGCCACTTCCAGTTTTCTAGTGGTCAACTGGAGATGAGAGTCTCACAGGCTTTCCTGACTGGATTGTCTGGGCTGGCTTTGAACCACGATCCTCAGATCTCAGCCTCCCTGAGTAGCTTGGATTATAGGTGTGAGCCACCAGTGCCCGGCTCGATGTACATATTTTTAAATAATTCATACCACATAATTCACTTAAATGAATTCATTTCCATGTTTTTTAGCATATTCCCAAAGCTGTACATTATTATTTAATTCTGCTACATTTCCATCACCCCGGAAAATTGCTATGCTCATTAGCAGTCCACTTGCCGTTCCTCTCCAATTCTCTCTCTGTGTAGCCCTTGGCAATTATTCACTTGCTTAATTTTTTTTCATGTTTAACTTTTATTTTGATTAAAATATTTATTGGCATGATAAGTACACTGGGGGGGATCATTGTGACACTTGCACACGTGTTTATAAGGTTTTACAATCAATTTCAGCCCCCTTTTCTTCCCAGAGCATGTGTCTTGCTCCTTTGACTTGCCATGTTTCCAAGGGCAATCCATGTTACATGATAACATCTATGTATGAGTACTTTGTTCCCTCTTTATTGTCAAGTAATGTTCAACTTTTAACTATTCATTGGTGGCTGTCCACTTCTTGGCTACTATGAATAATGTTACTATGGATGTCTGCATATGAGTTTTTTTTGGTAGTCTTATGTTCTCATTTCTCCCAGACTCATACCTAGGACTGGAATATTTAGGTCATATGCCAAGGGTAAGTTTAACGTTTGAGGAGAAGGTCAGACTTCTCATCACTATTTTATAAGGGTTGTGATTTCACCTTTGAGCTGTAAGAGTTCTTTATTATGGTATCTTGAAGTTGTCTACACAGAAATTCTCTGAACTGCTTTGTCTCAGGGAAGATCGTAATACCCTGTTTGAGGAGGTATTTTGGAGAAAACAAGACTATATAGAGATGACTGAAAAAAATCTGAATAGACAGGCCTTCTGGGTTTTCAACCTCAGTTTACTAACGTTAAATTATAGTTGTCCATACTTCACCATATATACAATGAAAAAAACAACAGCATGTGGAAGTGTGGCTCAAATAATAGAGCTTTAACAAGAGTTCAGGCCCAGTATGGGTACCAGAAACAAAACAAGCAGCAGCAACAAGAAAAAAACCAAAGGGATAGGGTTTGGAGAGCTTCCACCTGACTGAACATGTAGAGGTTCCGGAAGGGTAGCCCTCTTGGAGAACTACGGAAGACTAGCGGCCCTACCCGTTCTCTCTTCATCTGTGTCTTTCATAATGAACCTGTGTTTTCTTGACTTGTATGGGCTACTCTAGAAAATTAATTGAACTCAAGAAGGGGGTTGTAGGAAACTCAGTTTATACTACATTATGCCAGGTAAAACCACTGGGGCTTGCAATTGGACCTAACTGGTGGGGAGAGGTAGGCCATCTTGGGATATGGGTCATTAGCCTGTGGGATCAGACACTGACTGTCAGAACTGAGGTGAATCATTGCTGAAGAACTAATTGTTTGCTTAGTATGTGGGAACCCCCTGCACATCCAGGTGTTGGAGTAATTTTGTGTGAGAGCATAGTAGAAGCTGAGTTTTCCTCTGTATTCTCTCTGTATAGAAGGAACATTCTAGGCTGGGAATATAGCTTGTTGGTAGAACACTTGCACTAGGTTCTATCCCAAGCATTACTAAACAAAACAAAACAAAATAAGAGAAAGGCATATCTTGCCAGGTATAGTGATGCATACCTGCAATACAACTCTGGGGAGGGAGGGGCTGGGAAGGTGGCTCAGTGGTAGAGTGCTTGCCTTGCATGCATGAGACCCTAGGTTCGATTCCTTAGCACCACATAAGCAGAAAAGGCTGGAAGTGGCGCTGTGGCTCAAGTGGTTGGGCACTCGCCTTGAGCTGAAGAGCTCAGGGACAGTGCCCAGGCCCAGAGTTCAGGCCCACAACCAACCAAAAAAAAAAAAAAAAAACACTGAGGAGGGAGACTAAGGCAAGAGGATCATGATTTTGAGGTCAGCCTGGGCTATGCAGCAAGACCCTGTCTTAAAAAAAAGTTGAGGTATTGGAGAGGGGAGACAGGAAGGATGTATTTATGGAATATAACTAGGTGCCAGAGGCTCGTGCCTTTAACACTAGCTAGTCAGGAGACTGAGATTTATAGTTTTATGGCTTGAATCCAGTTGGGGAAGAAAAGTCCACAAGAATTTATAACCAGGAAAATGCAGGGCTGGAGGTATGGCTTAAATGGGAGAGTGTCATCTAGGTAAGTGAAAAGCCCTGAGTTCAAACCCCAGTACCACCAATTAAACATAAAAATAAATGAATGAATGAATAAATAAATAAATAAAAATAAGGGAGGGGAAGACAGGAATACTGAGAAGAATCTGACTATGCCTTGCTATATTCCCTCTAGTTGATCACCTTTATTTACATCATACATCCTTTGTCCAAAGAGATTTCTCCACAATTATACACTTCCTCAACATGAGCTTAAAATAACTAGGTCTCCCTATTCCTTTGGGACTTCACTTCTGTAAACTTCTATGTCGTGCAAAACTTACATTAAATCAATTTCTATGATTTTTCTCCTGCTAAACTGTTTTTGTTATAAGGGCTTCATCTATGAATGCAGAGATGAGTGAGATATAAGAGGAAATCCTTTCTCCCCTATAGCTTTAATACTAGTCACCTACCCTGGCAGATTACTTGAGCCTTAAGATGCTATGAAGGGGCCGGGCACCGGTGGCTCACGCCTGTAATCCTAGCTACTGAGGAGAATGAGATGTGAGGATCACGGTTCAAAGCCAGCCAGGGCAAGAAAGCCCATGAGACTCTTATCTCCAACAAACCACTCAAAAACCCAGAGGTAGCGTTGTGGCTCAAGTGGTAGAGTGCTAGCCTTGAGCTGAAGAACTGAGGGACTGTGCCTAGGCCCAGAGTTCAAGTCCCATGACCTACAAAAAAAAAAAAAAGATGCTATGAAGGCCTTGGCTTGCGCTCATTCCTTTACTTGCATAGAAGGGTTGTGTGGCACAGCAGGTGCATGCTGGAAGCACTGTTTTCTTCCCTTGATGCTTGGTTCTTTCGTAGAAGGAAATGGTTTGGCAGTCACAGGTGCTATGGTGGCACAGGGCTTGTATCAGGTAAAAGATGATCTCCCCCCAGTACTTGATTATTTTATGAAAACAAGATTGCCATCAAATTGGGCTGGGAAGGTGGCTCAGTGGTAGAGCGCTTGCCTAACATGCATGAGGCTCTGGGTTTGATTCCTCAATACCACATAAGCAGAAAGAGGGTGGAAATGGCACTGTGGCTCAAATGGTAGAGCACTAGCCTTGAGCTGAAGAGCTGAGGGACAGCGCCCAGGCCCAGAGTTCAGGCCCCAACAACCAACAACAACAACAAAAAGACTGCCATCAAATGACATTTACAGAATAAAAAGCTTCTCTTTTATTGTTACATGCATGTACCTTTAAACATAACATCTGAAAAGATACAGATCAACGTTACCCACCAAAAGGCCAATAAACATTAGAGGACACAACAGCTTTGTGTGTATTGGTCCAAGTTTTAAATAAACATTCATTCGGGACATCATTTTTTGGATAGGCACTTTTTGTTTGTGATTGTATGAGACAAGGTCTCAAACAAACCATACAGGTCAAGTTGGCTTTGAACATATGATCCTTCTGTCTCAGCCTCACAAGTGGTAGGATTATGTGTACCACTACACTTGGTTAGGCACTTATGTTAAAGAGGAAAAAAAACACCTTAAAAGACTTGAAATAGCTTGGCATGGGTGGCTGTCCTCCTGGCTCCTCAAGAGGCTGAGATCTGGATCTGTGGCCCAAGTGGTAGAGTGCTAACTTTGAGCAAAAAATCCCAAAAGCTCAGGGACAGCACCCAGGCTGAGTTCAAGCCTCAGGACCAGCACAAAAATACCAAAACAAAACAATAAAAAAAATAAAATTTCAACTGGAGTAATTTTAACTGATGTTCTTAGAATATATTTTTATCTTTTTCCCTGTGTTCATTAGAGTGCCTCCTAACTTCAGCCCAAGTGTTTGTGGAAGAAAGTCTGGAGTTGCTTCCATGCATCCACTTGGGCCACTGCATGAGCCTTGGGTTCTCCTCCAAACAAGATATTAGCCCCAACCAAGAGGTGCATGGCTGCCCTGCACAAGGGGAAGTAAGGGGGCTCAATATAGTGCCCTGCCTCAGGGTAAAGGATGATCTGGGGCTTTGCCTTCCCATGGGCCTCTAGGCGCTTAGAGGCCTCATTTGCATAGAACTCACTCTTCCAGTTGTGGTCATCCTGACCCACAAGGAACAGGAAGGCAGTGTCAGACCTTTCCACAGGAATGAAGCTCTTCTCTTCTACCAAAGGGCTTTGCAGGCCTTCTATCACATCCATGATGCCATCTTTTGTGAACTTGACTCGATTCCTGAGCAAACTCACAGGGGGCACAGACTCATCCTTGTAGTGTATGGTTCCCCCAACAGCAGCCACAGAGCCATTGATTATGACAGCAGCCGTGACACCCTTCAGGAAAGAGGTGACAGCAAGGCCGAGTTCGCCTCCTTTGGAATTCCCAAGGAGCCCAATTCCTGGACCCTTTACCTGAGAAAGAGACACAAAACAGAGAGAGAATGAGTCCTCAAACAGGGCAGTGGAGTGAGAGGTGCCCAGCTGGCTCAGGTGGACCTGGGCCCCCCTCTGGGCTCTATCTGTTCTCTAGGTATACCAATTCTTCCCATTTTCCTTCCTCTCCACAATTTCTCCATCACCATTCTTGGTGACTTCAATGGCATCATGATCTATTAGATGGACTTCCTAGTCCTCCACACTTGTAATCTTTTATCTACCCCATTTGAACTCCCATTGCTACAACTTTAACTTGTTATGATCAATGAGTACATCACTGAAAAGCCACAGCTTAAACATTCCATTTTCAGGACACTATCTTTAATACCTCCAGCTCAGCCCTTCTGGTTTATTCCTTCCATGTCCAAATCCCTGAGACTCAGCTGCCACCTCTTTACTTCATTGCTATTATCTCTCATGTTCTAATTTCCCACCTCTTCTAGTTTAGATTTCATGCTTCATCAGTGTAATTGTAGCTTGCAAACACTCTCAACTCCCTTAACTCTTCGGCTTTGCTTATATTGGCCACAACAGGCCATGTCTACTGAAATCTCCCTGTTCACTACGTCAGGCCAGTGTTGGGATTGGGGAAAAATATACAAGGGTGCTGATCATCTTACTTTCATCCCAATGAACATTCAGAGTGTCACATATCACTGGTATTTTGCTTTCCACATTTCCAGAGTCATTCACAACTTCTACCTCCTCCAGCCACTTCAGCCCTTACATTCCCCTCAGCCTTCCATTATTCCCTGGAAACTGAAGCAAACTGATGGGGGATTCTCAATTTCCCACTGCCTAATCTACCTACTTTCACATGAACTCAAGTTCTTGAGTGTCCCCCCTGACCTTCTCAAAGGCCACCATTGCCTTGTGCTTGCTTGGGAAACCACAACTCCATTCTCTAGGACTGCCTCCTGGGATTCTTCCCGCCTCCTTTCCACCTTTATTGTGTTTTCTTTACTGGCTCTTTCCCTTCAAGTACTTTCTGCTCTATTAGTGACCATTTGTGACCTCAGCCAAAATAGCTACTGCCCTGACATTTTTTTGTTGATGTTGTTGGCTGTCAGGCTTGAACTCAGGACCTGGGCTGTCCCTTAGCTTTTTCACTCAAGGCTAGAGCTCTACCACTTTAAGCCACAGTGCCATTTAAAGTTTTCTTGTGGTTAACTGGAGATAAGAGTCTCAAGGCCTTGCCTCCCTTGCTTCAAAGAGCAGTCCTTAGATCTCAGCCTCCTGTGTAGCTAGGATTACAGGCGTGAGCCACCAGCGCCTGGCCACTGCCCTGATTTTCTGTTCCTGTTCATTACAAAATCGGTGGGAAAGTTTATCTAAGTTTGCTTCTTTTTCCTCAATACCCCACTCAATGCTATCAACAGTAGTTTGGTGGATTTTGAATGTCCTACAAGAATAACTCCTGTCCTTGTATCCCAGTGTTCTATGTCATAAATAAATGACCTTTTGATTCATATATCACAGCACTGGTAATTAAGGACATTTTAATACCCTAGGAGTTCCAACAAGAAAAGAGGTATTTGAAAAAAAAAAAAAAAGAGGTATAAAAGACATGAAAATAGAAACAAACTGACAGAGTCATCCAGGTGCTGCTGACTCACACTTACACATCTAGCTATTCAGGAGGCTGAGATTTGAGAATCACACTTTGAAGACAGACAATTCCTTAAAACTCTCATGTTTGGCCAGGTACTGGTTGCTCATACCTATAATCCTAGCTATCCAGGAGGCTGAGATCTGAGGATTGTGGTTCAAAGCCAGCTGGGGGCAAGAAAGTCCATGAGACTTTTATCTCCAATTAAACACCAGAAAGCAGGAAGTGGTGCTGTGGCTGAAAATGGTAGAGCACCAGCCTTGAGCAAAAGAGCTCAGGGTCAGCACCCAGGCCCTGAGTTCAAGCCCCACAAATGGCCCTGAGTTCAAGCCCCACAAATGGCCCTGAGTTCAAGCCCCACAAATGGCCCTGAGTTCAAGCCCCACAAATAACAAAAACAAAAAACAAAAACAAAACTCTCATGTTCAATTAAGCCAAAAGCCAAAAGTGGAGGTATGGGTCAAGTTGTAGAGGGCCAGCCATGAGGCATAGAGAGCACAAGGCTCTAATATTAGAAACGACAAAGCTCTAAATTCAAACCCCAATACCAACACACACACACACACACACACACACACACACACACACACTCACACTCACACACACACACACACACACACACTCACACACACACACACACACACACACACACACACACACACACACAGAGAGGCAGTAAAGACGATGCTAGCCAGAGACAGATCATGAATGAATGTTCTCTAGTCCAGGAAACTCAGAGATCTAACCTCAGGGTGATTGCGCAGGAAGTTCAGAGCTTCTTCAAAGTACTCAACACGCATGGTATCCATGCCCTTGGGGAGGTCGTCATAGTTGTAATAAGCCAGCGCCATCACAGCAAAACCCTTCCCAGCCAGCAGGCTTGCTCGATACTCCAGGAGGCCTCCTCCAACTCCAAACAAGTCCACAATCCCTGGATAGGGCCCAGGTTCTTGGGAAGAAACAAGACAAAGCAGAATAGTAAACAATTCCTGAAACTCTTGGCAGTGGTATCAAAAGCCATTTGCTGACTACATGAGGATGATCAGGTTTTCCACTGTTAAAAATGTTGAAAGAAGCCAGGTGTTAGTGGCTCATGCCTGTAATCCTAGCTACTCAGGAGGCTGAGATCTGAGGATTGCAGTTCAAAGCCAGCCTGGGCAGGAAATTCCAGGAGACTCTTATCTCCAATAAATCACTCAGAAAACCAGAAGTAGCACTGTGGCTCAAGTGGTAGAGCGTTAACCTTGAGCTGAAGAGCTGAGGGACAGCGCCCAGGCTGACTTCAAGCCCCAAGACCAACAAAATAAATACATAAATATATAAATAAATAATAAAAAAATAAAATGTTGAAAGACTAAAGTGGCTAAAACTAAATCCACATCCCCTGCACACTCAGAATCTCAAAACCCCACAGAGTTTTAAAAAGAGCATGGAGTGCCGGGCGCTGGTGGCTCACGCCTGTAATCCTAGCTACTCAGGAGGCTGAGATCTGAGGATCTCGGTTCAAAGCCAGCCCGGGCAGGAGAGACCGTGAGACTCCTGTCTCCAATAAACCACCAGAAAACCGGAAGTGGCGCTGTAGCTCAAGTGGTAGAGCGCTATCCTTGAGCTGAAGAGCTGAGGGACAGCACCCAGGCCCAGAGTTCAAGTCCCACGACCGACAAAAAAAAAAAAAAAAAGAGCATGGAGTGCTTTTTGATATTAACATTTCATAGGCCATTGATACAGCTCACTGAGAAGAGCATTTGCCTAGTATACGTGCCTGATACTAGAAAAAAAATCAATGAATTTCACATGCAGCCTGCTAAGTGAATGGACACAGACTCCAAAGGCTACATTCATCCTGCATAAGTCTGGGTATGGGATATTTTCACATTAGAGAAAGTGTGTCTTTAACATTCCCAAGAACTCAGCAAGCACCTGAGAGGCATCACTGCATCTGGGCCCCTTTCTCCCTTCTCATCATCCTGGATTCTGTGTACTTCTCTTGGTTTTCTTTACAATATCACCCTTCTCATTTGGCTTTTTGTGAACCTTATCTCAGTGAAGGAACTGTGCATGTGCTGTCTGGGGGGGGGGGGGGTTGACTGCTTGACACTCCTCTGTGTTGGTTCTTGCAGCTGTGGTCCAATCCCACTTTGACAGCTGCAAATCTGCCTCCATTCCCTCATCAGGTCTGTTGGTGGTGGACATTTGGGCTGTTTGTAAAGCATTTGCCTCCTGATATACCATAGGTTGTGAATAGGTAGAATGACATATCATCTATCTAACGGAAAACTAACTGAATACCATAGCTGAAAACTTCCACTCCTAGCTGTATGGAGGAGTTTCTTTTCCTCCAGGTACTTGTCAACAATTGTGAGGACAGACTGATAATGCATTGTCACCCTGGAGGCTGTGTAATGAATGTGCTCTGTAGTTTTATTTGTCCTTTCCTTGATTACTAAAGAGTCATTGGCAGTTAAGTGTTGATCCAAGAATCTCAGCACGTTGCCAGTTGATAGAAAAGGCACCCTCTTATTGTAACTGCTACTTCCCACCAACCTAAACCTAACAGTGGGCGTGGTAGAAAAGGTGTGACACTGAGAAGCAAGCAAGAATTTAGGAAAGGAAAGCTGCAACTACTTATGGAGGGTTTCATTCTCCTCTTCCCTCCTCATGGCCTTAAGTCCCATTCATTCAATTCCTTCTCCCCATTCCTGTCTTCTTACCACCCCTCGAGTGTCCAGTGTCGTTGCAAGTAACCTCTTTGCTTTGTAAATGCAGAGGACCCAGGGCACTAACACGTGAGCAGCAGGAGGGCACAGGCACTCACCTGGCGGCAGGAAGAGGGTGGCCCGCACCCGGCCCTCGCGCACCGGCACCCGCCGCACCCCGGCCGCCATGAAGTGCCGCTCGTGCACCGCCCGCGCCAGCACGCGCCCGCCCTCGGGCTCGCCGGGCCCGGCGGGCTCGCGGCCGTCCAGCACCTCCAGCTCCAGCAGCAAGGGCGTCTGCACGTCCCGCTTGAGCAAGCGCCAGAAGGGCCTGTCGGGCTGCAGGGCCCAGACGAGCCCCATGGGCTCGAGCCCCGCGAAGCTGCCGCCCAGCGCGGGCGCGCGCTGCAGGTCCAGCTGGCCGCGGGCGTCGGCGCGGTAGCGCGCGTGGGCCCGGAAGAGCGCGCCCTTCTCGTCGCGCAGGGACGCGCGCAGCGCCACGGGCTGCTCGGGGGCCAGGCCGTGCACGGCGATGCGCACCGGCTCGTCCCAGCACACGCGGCCCGCGGGCTCCACCACCACCGTGGCCGCAGTCCGGGCAGGGGTCCGAGTGATGTGGCCTCCCATCCGGAGCTTTGCGGGCCCTGACAGCCTCGCCCAGCGCCTCAGGCCCCCCTGGCAAAGCCCGCTCGCTCTCACGAAAGCCAGAGAGGAGGCAACCATTTTGCGTCTGGATGTTAGACCTCGGAACTGAAACTTGGTGCAGGAAGAAAGTCGCCGAGACCCTCTAGCGGCGGGCTCCCGCCGGCAGTCGCTGCCCGCCCGGCGCGTCAGCCAGGGTCAGCTCTTGTAAGCCGAGAAGGACAGAGTTCCACCAATCAGCGGACGCGAAGATAATTGCTGGAAATGACCTGGAGTCCGGGAGGCACTTTCTTGTGCTGATTCTCAGGGAGCTCCCCAGGCCCTCAGGGGCGGGCCGACCGTAAAAAGGGCTGGCTTTGAAGGATCTGGGCACTTACAAACTGTTCATTGGCCAAACAACTCAAGGCTAAAAGAACTGCAGGTCTGGAGTGTAGTTTTCAGTACTGTGTGGAGTAATTCACATTGCTTTCTAACTCTCAAGCCTTTTCTTTCAAAATATGAACAGTGTGCCGGGCACCGGTGGCTCCTAGCTACTCTGGAGGCTGAGATCCGAGGATCGTGGTTCAAAGCCAACCCGGGCAGGAAAGGCCAGGAGAATCTTATCTCCAATTAACCACCAGAAAACAGGAAGTGGCACTGTGGCTTCAGTGGTAGAGCGCTAGCTTTGAGCTGAATAGCTGAGGGACAGAGCCCAGGCCCAGAGTTCAAGACCCACGACCAACAAAATAAATAAATAAATAAATAAATATATATTTGTATATGTATATATATACGCATATATAATACCAAATACCACTGTTCATATATATACATATATACAATGTATGTTGTATATATATTTGGTATATAGATAGATATAGATATACCAAATAGAATGGTATTTCGTGACGTATAGTCCACATCGGTCCCACATGCAAAGATACTGGTATTTTACTAGCTTTATGACCCCAGCTGTATTCCATACAAGGGTAAAAATAGCCAAATGACATTGCAATTATTTATTTTCTTACATTGGGTTTTCATGTTGTTCTTCTAGGCAAACATGGTCTCTTACTCATTCTGAGCATCTCAAATTTTCCCATGTTTTCATAAGATATTGGTTCCAACCAGAGGATTTTTCATCAGAGGTATGCATTAGGCCCCATCCAACTCCTTGTACCTTAATAAGGATAACTTATATCTACACAGTTTTAGAAAAACCTGGAACTGTATAAATTGTGTTCACTTCTGATCCAAAAAAAGCTAACTCTTAATCCTTACATGATAAAATTAAGAACAGCCTAACTGACTAAAGATTACACAATCAAAAAATGGAGGTACTGAGACTGCAAACTGATTTTCTAACCTATGCTCTGAATCACTGTGATTTACTTGCCTCTCAAAAAATGCCTATGTCAACAAAAGGAAAAATATACTCAAATACTGGTGTCTGTATAAACTGATCTGTTCTTTTTAGAGCAATCTGTCTGAAATACTTGAAAGACCATCCTCTTCACACTAGAACCTAAAAGAAAATGGTGGGGGAGGAAGGAAAAGAAAGACAGGCGAAAGATGAGGTTGGAAGGAGCAAGAACACTGATGACCCAAATAGCCATGAATTTTGTCACACAGTATTATAGTCACAAAAGCAGAATATTGGCTTAACTTTCTGATGCATAAAAGTTAACAAGTAAAGATAAATTGTAGACAGTGGTTTTCCTAAATACATGTCACAACCTAGTTAAAGTTGTTGGTTCAAAGCACACCATCTAACACAGGGTATACAGAATGAGGAAGAGAGAAGGTGAGCAATACCCAGAGTTAGCCCCTGGCCAGCTGCAGAACCCTATCTGCAGTGTTAGCAGCTCCCAACACATTTCAGTCACAATTCCACATCTAGAAATACCTTATAAGGAAATATTCATGAATGTGTAAAAATTTGGGTACAAGAAGATTATTACCTTCTTTTTTTTTTTTCTTTTTTAGTGTTAAAGATTAAACCCAAGGCCTTGCACATGCTAGTCACTGAGCTAAATCTCCAGTCAGTCCAGGTTTGGGTTTAATTGATTGATTGAACTCAGGGCAAAGGCACTTTTTGTTTGTATATTGTTCTTCAGATAGGGTGTTGCTAACTTTGCCTGTGCTAGCCACCACCCAGGCGCTGGGATGAAAGACATGGCACCACTTGGCCCAGTTTAGTCATATGGTTTTAATAAAGAAAAGTTAAAAATGGGCTGGGAATGTGGCTCAGTGGTAGAGTGCTTGCCTTGCATGCATGAGGCCTTGGGTTCTATTCCTCAGCACCATAAATACAGAAAAGGCCAGAGGCTGGGACGGTAGGTCACAGGTAGAGTGCATGCACGAGGCCCAGGGTTCCATTCCTCTTCAGCACGTAAGCAGAAAAAGCCGGAAATGGCATTGTGGCTCAAGTAGTAGAGTGCTAGTTTTAAGCTGAAGAGTTGAGGGACAGCACCAAGGCCCAGAGTTCAGGCCCATGACCAGCAAAAAAGAAAAGAAAAGAAAAAAGTTAAAAATGAACTAGAGCTGGGTGCTGGTGGCTCACACCTATAATTCTAGCTACTCAGGAGGCTGAGATCTGAGGATTGAGGTTCAAAGCCAGCCCGGGCAGAAAAGTCCATGAGACTCTTATCTCCAATAAACCACTCAAAAACCGGAAGTGGCTCTGTGGCTCAAGTGGTAGAGTGTTAGCCTTGAGTTGAAGAGCTGGAGAGCGCAGGGACAGCGCCCAAGCCGAGTTCAAGCCCCACGACTGACCAAACAAAAAAAAAAGAACTAGAAATAAACTATTATTAGCACTTTGAAATGCTTTTTATTTTTGTCTTTTTTTTTTTTTTTTTTTTTTTGCCAGTCATGGCGCTTGAACTCTGGGCCAGGTTACTGTCCCTGAGCTCCTTTTGCTCACAGCTTGAACCACAGTACCACAGTACCATTTCCTGCTTTTTCTGTGATGAATTGGAAATTAGAGTCTCACAGACTTTCCTGCCTAAACTGGCTTTGAACCATGATCTTCAGATCTCAGCCTTCTGAATAGCTAGGATTATAGGCATGAGCCATCGGTACCTGGCTTTTTTTGTCCAAAATTTCTATCAGAAAATGTAAATGACCCATAATTAAACAGAGTTTGGATTTTATTTGTGCTAAAATATGTGAACTTAAGTTCTCTGAAGAAGTTACATCTGTATTGATTCTGCAGACTGCTTGACCTCGGCTGAATAGAACATTGTGACTGTGGAGATGGAATGCCATAGGTCATGCGCCAAAATTATCTTGGGCTATTTTAGGCCCTTTAATAGCCACTTAACTTTTGTATCACATCTAACATTCTCCAAGCTAATAAATTTTTGTTGTTGTTGTTTTGGTCTGTCATGGGGCTTGAACTCTGGGCCTAGGCACTGTCCCTCAGCTCTTCAGTGTAAGGTGAGCACTCTACCATTTGACCCACAGTGCCACTTCCAGTTTTCTGAGTGGTTTTTTGGAGATGAGTCTCACAGAGTTTCTTGCCCAGGCTGGCTTTGAACCGCAATCTTCAGATCTCAGTCTCCTGAGTAGCTAGGATTACAGGCGTGAGCCACTGGTGCCCTGCTAAACTTCTTAATATATTATTAAGCTTATATGACAACCTCTGTTGTGTCAGTGTGCTAATCTAACTGGTAAATGTGCTGAATAATGATTTTATTTTGTTCTGTACTACAAAACCTCATGCAATCTCCTCCACAGTGGAACATGTCATTCAGAGTAGTTTGAATCCATGTTCCTAGGTCAGGATTATTCATATTTGGCTCAGAATTCTTTATATCAGAATGTATTATATCCTTTAAAACAGGGGTATTAGTGTTTTATCATGTTTAAGTGTAAATTCAATGGCATTAAATTTATTCACATTGCTATGTAGGCCTCACCATCATTCATATCTACAAGTTTTGTGCTTTGTTTTTCTGTGCTAGTGCTGAGGTTTGAACTTAGGGCCTCATGCTCTCACTTGCCTTTTCACTTAAGGCTTACACTCTACCACCTGAGCCACTTCCAGCTTTTTGCTTGTTGACTTAATGGAGAAAAGAGGCTCAGGGACTTTTCTGCCCAGGCTGGCTTCAAACCTCAATTCTATCTCAGCCTCCTGAGTAGATAGGATTACAGGCATTAACCAACAATGCCTAGCTCAATAAAGTTGGTTTTTTTTTTTTTTTTTATCATTTCTGAAGTTACTCAACACCCCATTCCTCCTGTTCCCCAGCACATGGCCACCACTATTCCAGTTTCTGTTTGTATGAATTAATCTAAGGTCTTAATATAAGTAGAATCATATATATTTGCCCTTTTCTGTCTCTTGCTATCACTTAGAATGATCTTTTTATTAGGTTTCAGAGAACTATAGCCCACCTGTGTGCAGGTGGCTCACCCCTGTAATCCTAGCTACTCACTTAGGCTGAGATCTGAAGATACAGTTCAAAGCCAGCCTGGGCAAGAAAGTCTGTGAGATTCCTATCTCCAGTTAACTACCAGAAAACTGGAAGTGGTGCTGTGGCTCCCAGTGGTAGAATGTTAGCCTTGAGCAAAACAGCTCAGGGACAGAACCCAGGCCCTGAGTTCAAGTCCATGACTGACACACACAAAAAACTATATCCCAAAGTGATGTTTTATTATGAAGAACAACTTAAAGGAGACTGGAAGGCTTAGAAGCAAGGACTCTGTAATCTTTCCTGCTTTCCCCTTAGCATTCTGTCTAGATCCCAAATTCAATCCCCAGACCTGGGGACAGGTGGGGGGAACTGAGGAAGTTGGAGACAAGGGGTTGTTTGCATTTGTTGGCTTAAATCCTCTTCCTAGGGGTTCATCAAAAACCAGGAAAGATTAAACATCAAGGAAGAAACTAAAAGCAATTACGTTCAGAGTTTTTGTCTATTGTGTGGCTAGCTCCAAAGGATTACCATTCCTCACCTTCTTATAACTTTTAGGTACCTTCCTCAGAGTCGAGAGGCACTTGATCTCAGGCAATGGTCTCATTTTGAGGCACACATTTATTTAAAAAATTATTTATTGTACTACAGATATTGCCACACCTACTCCGGTGGAGTCTGCTTAGCATGGGAAACCTGCTTTCAGACCTGAGAATGGGGCTTCACAGAAGCCTATCTCTGAGAATGGGACTTCACCGAAGTCTACCTCAGAGAATGG